AGCACTTCTGGATAGATGCAAACTGCATTTCGTTGCTTTGCACTTGTAACATGTGCAATGACAATAAAGTTGAATTCTATTCTATTCTATTCTATTTCTCTCCTCATGTAAACGACTCTAACTCCTGCCACTCTCACCTGTTCCTCATTGTCTTTCCCCAGGTGTTTGTCATTGTGTCCCTTTAAGGTCAGCATCTTTGTGTTTCCACCTTGTCCATAGATTGTGCTTCCCATAGCTGTGATGCTCCGTTTCCTCCGTGTCTCTCTGATCCTGCGTGCCGTACTTTGTAAGTTTTGCTACCACGACAGCTTTTTGTTTGTTAAATAAATAAGTTATTCTTTATTTTATTTTATTCTTGAGTTCCCATGTCTGTCTGCACCTGGGTTCGACTACACAGAACTTGCTAACTGTAGCTGTTTGAATGTCGCTGTTTAGCTGATGCTGATTAGCTGCAGCTGTTTGTGGTTAGCTATTTGGTTGTACAATCGTCCATTGCTATATCCCGGTTCACTTCTTGCGGCTTCAATGTATCGTGGGTTTTTAAAACCTGTTTTTTTATAATGTGTGTACTGTACATGCATTTCATCGTCATCATTTTCATCACCATCATTGTCCATTACGAACACCATGTTCGAACATAAGGGTGTCCATATGTGCACTTGGCACCAGGACACCCTAGGTCAAAGATCGATGACTGACTTGTAGTTGTGTTATCTGATCTGTGGCCGTTTGTTTTGGACACTTGAGTGAAGAAAGGAGCTGAGCTGTCAACTGATCACCGCCTGGTAGTGAGTTGGATCAGATGGCAAGGCAAGATGCCGAACAGACCCGGTACAACCAAACGTGTAGTGAGGGTTTGCTGGGAATGCCTGACAGAAGAACCCATCAGAAAGATTTTCAACTTGCACATACAGGAGAGCTTTAACCACATCCCAGCTGAGGCGGGGGGCATTGAGTCCGAGTAGGCCATGTTCTGCGCCTCAATTGTTGATGTGGCTGACTTGAGCTATGGCCACAAGGTTGTCGATGTTTCTCGCGGTGGCCATTGTCGAACTCGGTGATGACACCCTGGGTTAGGAAAGCTGTCCAGCTGAAGGAAGAGTCCTATCAGGCCTTGTTGGCTGGTGTGACTCTGGAGGCAGCTGAGGAGTATCGGAGGGCCAAGCTGTCTTGACTGTTGCAGAGGTAAAAAGCTCAGATGTGGGAGGAGTTCAGTGAGGCCTTGGATAACGACTCTCAGTCAGCTCCGAGAAGATTCTGGCAAACCATCAAATGGCTGAGATGGGTAAAGCAGCACTTTACTAACACTGTGTTCAGTGAAGGTGGGGTGCTGTTGACCTCAACCAGTGATGTCATTGGGAGGTGGAAGGAATACTTCTCGGACCTTCTCAATCCCACCGGCATGTCTTCCACGGAGGAAGCCAAGTTGGGGGACTTCGGGGTTGGTCTGTTTATAACCGTGGCTGAGGTCGCCAAGGTAGTTAAAAAGCTCCGTAGTGGCAGGGCTCCGGGAGTGGATGAGATTCGCTCTGATTTCCTTAAGGCTCTGGATGTTGTTGGGCTGCCTTGATTGGCACGTGTTTGCAACATTACGTGTACATTGGGGGCAGTGGCACTGGATTGGCAGACTGGGATGGTGGTTCCACTCTTCAAAAAGGGGGACTGGAGGATGTGTTCCAATTATAGGGGCATCACTCTCCTTAACCTCCCTGGTAAGGTCTATTCGGGGTATTGGAGAAGCAAGTCTGATCGTTGGTCAAACCTGAGATTCAGGAGGAACAATGCAAGTTCTGTCCGTGGAACACTGGGTCCGCTCTTTACCCTCACTGGGGTCCTCGAGGGGTCATGGGAGTTTGCCCATCCAGTCTACATATGTTTTGTGGACTTGGAGAAGGCGTTTGATTGTGTTCCTCGAGGTACACTGTGGGGGGTGCTCCATGATTATGGTTTCTGGGGCCCATTGTTACAGGATGTTCAGTCCCTATACAAGCAGTGCGAGAGTTTGGTTTACATTGCCGGTAGTAAGTCGGACCCATTCAGGGTGGGAGTTGGACTCCACCAGGGCTGCCCATTGTCATTGATTCTGTTCAAATCTTTTATGGACATAATTTCTTGGTGCAGCCGGGGGTGGAGGGATTCCGGTTTGGTGGCCTAGGATTTCATCTCTGCTCTTTGCATATGATGATGCGGTCCGGTTGGTGTCATTATGCCGTGATCCTCAGCTCTCACTGGAGTGGTTTGCAGCCGAGTGAGAATTGGATGGGATGAGAATCAGCACCTCCTAGTCTGAGGCCATGGTCCTCAGTCGGAAAAGGGTGGATTGCTCTCTTCAAGTCAAGGGTTAGGTTCTGCCTCAAGTGGAGGAGTTCAAGTACCTCAAGATTTTGTTCACAAGTGAGGGAAGACTAGAGTGTGAGATTGACAGACGGATTGGTGCAGCATCTGCAGTATTGTGGACTCTGTACTGGTTTGTTGTGGTAAAGAGAGCTGAGCTGTAAGGCAAAGCTCTCTGTTTACTGGTCAGTCTGCGTTCCTACCCTCACCTATGGTCACAAGCTCTGGGTAGTGACTGAAAGAACGAGATTGTGGATACAGGCAGTTGAAATGGGTTTCCTCCGCAGGGTATCTGGACTCTCCCTTAGAGACAGGGTGAGAAGTTCCGTTATACGGGAGAGACTCGGAGTAGAACCGCTGCTCCTCCAGACAGAAGCCAGTTGAGGTGGTTTGGGCATCTGGTAAGGATGCTCCCTGGGCACCTCACTAGGGAGGTGCTTCAGGCATGTGCGACTGGGAGGAGACCCCGGGGAAGACCCAGGACAGGCTGGAGAGACTATGTCTCTCAGATGGCCTGGGAACGCCTTGAAATGATTAATGTGAATGTTTCTGTTCAGTGCTCTGAGATAACTTCTGTTGTGACTTGGTGCTATATAAATGAACTGAATTGAATTGAACTGAACTGAATTGAAAAAAACGTTCGGAACCACATCAAATGTAAATAAGTTATTGTGGTGTGCTGCCCAGGATGATGGGAGGTCGAGACAGAATGCAGATTCAACTCAATTTTCTGCATCCTTACAGAATTTTTACTAACTGACATTTGATAATATTTGTGAATGTTTTTGTACATTACCCTGAGATGATGTTTGTTGTGAATTGGCACAATATAAATTAACTGAATTGAATTAAAATGTCCCTATTAAAAGTATGGAGGAAAAGAAACAGAAACAGAGCATGTTTTAAGCTCACCTCTCCAGTTCAGTGCACCACAGCACATCCTCCTTCCCATTCATCAACACTGGGAAATGTTGATCTTTGCCTTGTTTGATGGAGTTGGAGCGAGTGGTGATGGTTCTCACTTTCCCAAACTAAAGAAAAACATACACCGTCATACACTGCACACTTGTTTTTCATCTGTGAGTTTCAAGTGCAGAGACCTGACCTTTGCTACTCGGCCATGTTCCAAACAGTCCTGAAGCTCCAGCTTATCCATCCCAGAAGCACACAGACGCCTGAAATGGGAAGTTAGCACGTCAATCTCCAACACATTAACTTTCAGTTTCTCCTTAAATGTATGGAGTGGCATGGTGGAACAAAATTGGAGCTGTCAACTTTTAGCAACAAGATCACAGGATCACCTCCTGTTGGGGCCTTTCTGTGTGGAGATTACATGTTCTCTTTTTGGTTTATCTCTGAGTACTCTGTCTCTTTCCACAGACTAGAAAATACATGTTAGGCTCATTGGTAACTTTAAATTGGCCCTAGGTGTGAGTGAGAGTGTGGTTGTCTTATTTGTAAATGGTAAATGAACTGTACGTATATAGCAGCTTTATATCTAATCAAGATACTCAAAGCACGTCACAACACAATCTGTGCCCTCATTTACCTCCACACATACGATCATACAGCACAGCACTCTACTAGATCTCTACAAAGATAATCTAAACAAGTCATTCTATAGTGACTAATCAGTGCTAGATCACATTCATACACTGATGGGAGTGGGAAACACATCAGAGGAAAGGAGGGGTTCAGTATCTTGCCCAGGGACACTTCAACGTGTGACTGCTAATGGAATTGAACCCCCAACACTCCCATTGGGAGGATGACTGCTCTAACCACTCAGCCACAGCTGCCCAGCTGCCCCTGATTTGTTTCCATGTGTCCCTGTGATGGACTGAAGACCTGTCCAGGGTGTACTCCACCTCTCACACAGTAACATCTGGACATGGGCATTAGCAACCCCTGCAACCCAAAAAGGAAGTGGGTAAAGATAATGGATGGATGGATGGGTGGGTGGATGGATGGATGGATGGATGGATGGGTGGGTGGATGGATAGATGAATGGATGGATGGGTGGATGGATGGGCGGATGGATGGATGGATGGATGGATGGATAGATGGGTGGATGGATGGGTGGATGGATGGGTGGATGGATGGATGGATGGATGG